TAGTAGAGACGGGGTCTCACTCAAGCTGGTTTCGAACTCCTGACCTGGAGCAATCCGCCCGCCTCGGCCTCCCAGAGTGCTAGGATTACAGGCGTGAGCCACCTCGCCTGGCCCATTTTTGAATTTTGAGTTATTTCAAGCAACTTTTAATATCCCTTCTAATGCCAAGATTCCACAACTTTGTTATTTATAATGTTTAAAATGTAGTATACATTTTTGTATAGGGTTTTATTTTTGTATAAATTTTTTAAACTGGTCAATTTTTAAGAATGAATTTAAACTATTCACTGAGTTAAGAAAAAAAAACCCACATCGAGCACCACTCCCTGGTTGTTATGCAGTTGTAAGAGGACTGTGAGTATAAATACCCATGCTCTATTACAATTTCCCAATTCTTCTCTTGAAATCCCCGATGATTGCATTCTGAGATGCGTGAAAGAATGTCTTTCCTACAAACCTCATTAAAATGGAAGCCTGATGCTTCAATGCTAAGGTAGAAGATAACCTGGGGCTTTTAAGACATACTATATACTCTTTGCAAAAACAAACCAAAACAAAAGCCACTACATTCTTGTAGGTAAAACAATCCCTGTCTATGGGAATCTTTCAGAGATTTCTGGGTTATAGCATGATTTCTGGGTTTAGACTGAGATAAATGAAGAGCAGGCAAAAGCAGCAGGACTTGAGAAGGAAAATTTAGCTGCAATTTTCTTTTTTGCTTTTGGCCTATCTGCATTTGTGTCCAATAACAACAACAACAAAAATCAGTCTTGATAATTTGCAATTCATGTAAAGATTTTAAGCAAGTTTTTTTTTTTTTTTTTTAAGGCATAGTAGGCTTTGGGGCACTACAGAAGTCTATAGTAGCACTTACTTCTATGGCAATTTACAAAGCACACTTCACAACACCACAAAATTTTGTTACCATCAACCCCATTTTCCAGAGACCTGTGCAGCCTAGATAGAGGTACACCTGGAATCCAAACTCAAACCCTTCAAGTTCCTTCTGCCAGGGCACAGCACTCACAGGAGAGATAAACCTCATACCACAGCCTCTTGACAGTCTTGGGCAGGGAGCAAAGAATGCAGCAGAACCTGATGCACCTCTAGGCTTGGGGTAGGCAGTCTCTGAGAGCACCATTTGACAGAGCAGACAGGGGGAAGAAGCCACAGGATGACTGGGTCTAGGGTACAAAGCAAAGACCACACAAGTCAGCAGCAAGACTGACCTGAAAGCTGGGCTTTCTGTATCTGTTTTATTACAAACAGCTCTACCCACTTGAGGAAGGGGACAGGGGAAGCTGCTCTAGTAAACATTTCTTCCCATTATTGCCCTAAATTAGGAATACTATAGATCTTTGCCATCCTTGTCATTCAAGCTAAGTCATCGATTACCTTTTCCTTAGTTGTTTAAGGCTGTTTTATACACTTATTTGATGTTCTGGATGTGTGCTAGAGGCTGGGGCAGCAGCGGGGAAGAAGGCAGACAAGCCCTGCCTTCAAGCTGTTGACCCTCAATGCAGAAAGTATGGTGGTAAGTTCACAACTCCAAGTTTCAACTGAACCTCATGAGTGAAGCCCACCTGGAGAAGATGGGGCAGACCTCCCAGATCTAATGCTTATAAATTAGTGATCAGAGCCCATGGGAGGGTGCTGAGTTTCCACTCAGAATGTGCTACTTACTGATCAATAACAGAGCAAATTATAGAATTTCTATCAATGCAGAAAAAGGAACTATTTAATAATAGCAAGAGATAAAAGTTGATGATAATTTTTTCTGTCAGAAAGTGGCTAACTCCATTCTTTAAAACAAAGTCTGTAACCAACACAGTAGCCAAATATAGTTCCAGATAAGACACATGGTTTGAGCCCTCACTGTCCATGCCACTGAGGTAGGTGGCTACAGAATTGTGAAATGTTTTAACAGGAGCAGTGCTTCTTCATTCTAACTTTTAAGAGCCTGTTCAAAATGCACAGCTTGACAGTGTAGCAGAAATCCATGTTCTAGCCCAGGGATGGGCAAACTTCCCCCTCTCCTCCATAAAAGGACAGATAGTAAATATTTTCTTTGTGGACCATACAGTCTATCTCTGCTAGTCAATTCTGCTTTTGCAGAGAAAGTTAAGCCATAGACAATGATCTCCTAGTTCACTACTTGTGTTCAGGGTCAGATACACATGGGATGGGAAACTCTGATAATCTAATCTAGCTTTCTGGCTTTCATTCCCTAAAGTCTCAAAGCTTCTAGGAGTACAAGTTATCTCCCTAGCCCAGGCGTCCTCAAACTACAGCCTGCAAGACGCGGGCCACATTCGGGTATTTTTGCCCATTTGTTTTTTTACTTCAAAATAAGATATGTTCAGTGTGCATAGGAATTTGTTCATAGTTTTTTTTTAACTATAGTCCAGCCCTCCAACGGTCTGAGGGACAGTGAACTGGCCCTCTGTTTTAAAAGTTTGAGGACCTCTGCCCCAGCCAAATCTTCCATCCTGCAGCCTCTTAGGGCCCCAAACTTGAGATGCTCTGTGGTTTCATCTTCACCTAATCTTAATGGGCCCCCTACAAATCGCCATACTTCAAGCTCATACTTCTCATCTTCCCCTATCCTCTAATCCACAATATGCCCAAAGCCCTGATAATAAAAGCATATCATGCATGTATTTGTCTACTGTGAAAAAAAGAAAAAAATAAATAAAAGCATATCAATATTTATAATATGCAACTTTTTATTAAAATAAAACCATTGTTCATAGTCCTAAGAAAGATGTTTGCCAAAGAACCTGCTGTTAAAGGAACTGCAACTTTTGGATGCATCTGTTGTGTAAGGTCATTTAAGAATGTTTTGTTTGACCCCACACATCTGGCCTCATCCATGAGGCTGTACAGTGTGGCTGTCTACCACACAGTAAGCAACAATGATCAATACCTGGAAAAACTGCAATGGAAAAGCTTATTTGGCCTAGCTATTATACGGTGGCTAAAGAGACAAAGGTATTTCCTAAAAGGGGATTCTACCTGCATCACCCAGTGGTGGATGGCACAAAGCTAGAGGTGAGGCACAGGGATAAAGCAAATCACCCATGCAAAGAAGAAAGAGAAAAAAGTATTCAGTGGAGCATTTCTTAGGGATAAAGAGCACTGAGTCTGAACTTGAAGTTGAATACGACCCACCGAATTAAGTTTATATAGTTAACTTTTCCTGAAGTATCATGGTATTTTAATAATTCAATTTTTTAGAAAATATATATTATCCAAAATGGCTTAGTAGAGGCTTAACTCTTGTACTTCTTCAAATCCTTCAGAGAAAGAAACATGCTAGAACATACAAAACACTTTGTAGCTATGTCAGTAATACTTAAAACCTTGTAACAGGCACTATCATGGGCATATTTAACCAATTAGGATAATTTTTAAATTAAAAATAAGATGAACTTACCTGTAGAGTTTCAGATGAAATTAAAGCACTAGCTGAAGTTTTTTGTTGTTTTCTGTAGTCCATGCTTTAAAACACTCAGATTTGCCATGAACTACTGAGCAGAACAGAAAAAGAATGTATCTGAGTTGTAAGTTAACACTGGGCACTATGACATCTAAAAATCAATGTTCTATACCTAGCACATTCCTGCTGGAGCAAGCTATTATGTATCAACCCTTTTTTAATTTTTGGAAAAGCCTGATCCTGTCTTCATCCTCTATGATATCAAATTACCTCAAACTCTAATCTGGAATTATATAATATGGGCACCATTTTGATAACAGACTTTATTTTCAGGAGGCTGGAGTTATCCAGTGGCCATTCATTTAAATGAACATTTTAATCTAAAAGGGAAAAAAGTCACACGGTTTTATCTCTTAGTATTAAATAGCTCCCATCTCTAGACTGATGCAAGTTCAGTAATTTGCGCTTTTATATGGCATTGACGCATTCTGAGCACAAACTCAGCTCCCTTCCTTTGCCTAAGCCACCTGGAGAAAGCTAAAAAACAAACTTGTTTCCAGTTGAAGACAGTAAACTCTAATCTTCCTTATCTCTGAAAACAGAACCCCGCCCTCCAAAAAAAAACCACACATGGTTTGGTAATTTCTTCCTTTTCCTTACAAAGCAGCCACCTCCTAAATGCAGGCACTCTTGAGCAAAATATGCTGGAAATAAAATCATCTCTGTTCTGCAAATCTCTCTCCCAAGTCCAACAGTGAGAATAAGAAAAGAAAGAATACTGAATGCAACCACTACCCATGCTTGCTTGCTGGTATCATTTCTTACTGCTTGGAAAAGTGAGCTCCGTTGTACCTTTTCGGATTTCTTTTAAAACGCCTTAGATGCTCCTTAAGACCACCTCTTATGAATCCTGTAACACTAGCCCCTACGTCTCCTCCTTTCTCTAATTCGACCATTCCCCTCCCAAGGTCCATATTCCTTCCCAATCCCTCCCTTGAAGCACCTTCCCACAATACGGCCCCAGGCCCTTCCCCAGAGCCCGGAGTGCGTTCGCCCAGGCCTGTTAGGGTCCACCTAACGCTGGGTACCGAACACGCTGTTAGGGGTACCGAAACGCTGTCCTCGTCTTCTCCCCTGCCACCGCGGCAAACGCGCCGAGCCACTCCCGGCTTTGACCCTGGCTGGAGAGGCGCGGGCGACCCAGGCAAGGACTGCGCCCAGGAGCGGGGCAGGGTGGACAACGTGCGGCCGCGGCCTGGGCCGCTACGCGCCCCGGCGCCCCTCCGCGTCTGTCACGGCCCCACCGGGCCCCTTCTCCAGCGCTCACCGGTGCAGGAGCTGGTAGCCGCCGAGGCCCGAGCCCCGGGGCGCGGGAGCTCAGTCCCGGCCGCGCTCCGGAAAGGGCCAGAGGAGTGGGCGGCGCCTCCCTGCCGCGCTGCCCAGGTCTCGGTGTTCCGGAGGATGGCGCGTTTCAGGAAAGGCCGGTCCCGTGGCCACGCCCGCTACCCAGCCCGGGTCCCAACCGCCTGCGGCCACCGCAAGGCCCGGGCCTCACCCTCACCTCCGGCGCGCAGCGCACACCCAGCTCCGAAGCAGGCGGCCGGCCGGCGCTCCCGCCCCGCGCGCACACGCATCCTCCCCGCAGCCGCACGCACGGCCGGGCGCGCGCAGACCAAGCGCCCATTGCTCGCGGGCGCGGGCACGGGCAGCCCGCAACCCTACGCGCCCGCGCCGGACCGCTGTCCGGATCCTCGCTGTCACCGCACATTCACGGCACGGTGGAGTTAAGTACGCATTTACAGTTGAGGCTGGCCAAGGCTAGACGACTGAGTGGCAGACCTCGGGCTGGAATTTCTGTTTAAGAGCCGCTCCTTCTTCCCCCTTGCCATCTTTCCAAGCTGCGCAAGTGCATGGTCTCCAGGCATCCCTGGAGGGATTTTCTTGTTGAAGTCCACACAGAGCTAACTAGGGGAGGAGTAACCTTGAGAGGAGTTCTTTGCTCTCTCAGAACAAATGCGCAGTTCTTCATCCAGAATCGTCGGGGAATGAAGGGTGGAGACATGTCAGGTTACAATGGTCTGTGTGTGGATGGGAGTCCTAGGGAGTCGCATGCTCTAATAACTACCTGTCTATATTGTCCTATCTGGACAGTTCAAGGAAGTTCTGCTCCACTCTGAGTCGCCACCATCCAGTGTTCCCTGGGAGGAGTGCAGTGGCTTTTAGGCGCGGGAGCTGGGTGGTAGTGTGTGGCTTCTGGCTGTACTGGTCTTTGGGTGGAGGTGGTGCAGTTAGTCAGAAACAATACTTCCACTCCTCTATCAGTACTCTTGGAATACTGCCACCTGAAAACTATTCCCCATGCTGGTCACTTGGCCGTGGGACTGTAAACAGCTTGGCCCCAGCATCACCACTTGCAAAGTTCAAAAATTTCAGTGAACACCCGTATACTGTACACATCTTCGAGATTAAACCACTGTTTACTGTTTGCCATGATTGCTTTCCCTCTCCTACATACTTCAGTCTGCATTTCCTAAGACTAAAGGTATTCTTCTGCACATCACAATACCATTATCACACCTAAGAAACTTAATATGAAGACGTCGCCTAATATTTAGTCCATATTCAAATTTCCCAAATCGTCAAAAAAAAGTCTTATATATTGGTTTTGTAGAAAAATGATCAAGATTCATGCATTGCATTTGTTGTCTTTTTAAATATAGAACAGGCCCCCCCCCTTTTTGTTTTCATGACATTAACTTTTTGATGTTTAATTATCTTAGTTTTTTGTCTTACCGGTGTTAACTTTTCTTTTAGCTCTCAAAGTTCCTGTGGAAGTATAGAGACATGATTAAAAGGCCAGAATCCTTCATAGGCTACAAAGTGCTCTTTGTATTGTTTCCCATCAGGGAAAGCATAATATTAAATGTTAAACACATAAAATCAGTTGTCCCCATAGTAATGATCACTAGGGTAAGGAGGTGCCCTCTAGATTTTTCTTTTATAAAGAATAATAAAAAATGTATCCTTTTTGTGGTTAATAGGTTATCTGGCTAGTGGAGACAAACTCTTTGGAGGAGAAATTCTTAAATTTCTGCAAGGAAAACAGAGGTTACATAAGACTATTATGCAAACAAGATAACACTCCCACAAGATGTCACTCATGGTGAAATGTCCCCAAGGGTTGATAGATGAGCTAACATGACCAGCCCTGGGTATGAACACCAGTCTGTGGGAGCATATATTTGACTCATTCAACCATGCAAAGCACTGTTAGAGGCACCAGGGACAGATCACTGAACAAGATAGGACCCTGTAAGATTCATGAGCTTAGGAGGAGACACAAGTAGGCAGGATCATTTCTGAAGGGTCATAAGTGCTGTGAAGTTGATAGGAGTGGAATGTGATAGAGAGCGACTCTACAAGCAGGGCACAGAGCTAAAATCTCTGAGGTACTATTGACATTGTTAGAAAAAAAAATCACTTCAGTAATCAGCTTTGATCAGTTAGTTGTCCCTTCTGCTCCACTGGGTAACTATGTGGTATTTTGACATCAGTTGTGAGCCTTTAAAGACAAATCCATTGACCTAGATGGGTAGAGTAATAATCATCTGGATCATTCTGGCACCTACTACTTCAGATCACCTAGCTGTAGACACCTAGGCACTGGTCCTTTGCTCCCTTAATGTATGGTAAGTTGAATTGAATCCTAGCTTCATTCAAAGAGCAATAAAGCTCTGGTTTCTGTGGAGTTTGAGCTACTTTAGAGTTCCTGTGAATAATTCTGGTGAAAGTAGTGATGCTTTCTACAGGGTCTTGTGATGTATGTTTTAAGAAGATTTGGTAAAATCCAGGAGGAGTTTCCTGTATTTATCTGAGCATACCTGGTCTAAACTCCCAGGTCCATTCTAATAACAGAAATAAGCCAAGAATATGTAATACTTTATGTAATCTATGCCTCTGGTCATCTGATCTTTGATTTAGATCATAAATATCTATGGGTGTGAGCTTACCTACTTAAGCTCATAAGCTCTGCTAGACAAGAGCTCTCCACAAGTTTACTCTATGTAGCAAGGACTATCCCACCTCCCACCAGAGAACTCTCTAAGGACATCATGCACTCCACAGTCAAATGTAGTGTTTTAAGCAGATGGCCTGTACCCCCACTTCTCAAAAGAGGGCAGTTTTCAGTAAATCATTCCAAGTCAGTGGATCATACTGATGGTTTTCATTTGCATCAGAAAATTAGTTTCTACCCTTGCCCCTGCCAGCTGATCAGAATTTCATCAGAACCAGCATTTTAAGAGTCCAAAACAAAAGACAGGAGCTAGTCTTAAAAGTAGGGTAACATTATTTTTGCCACATTCTATTAGTCAAAAGCAAGTACAGGACCATTCAAGATCCAAGGGGAGGGGCCTAGGCAAGGGCATGATCTCTAGGTGAGGCTAGAGTGTGGGGGCAGTACTGGGAAGGAACTACCACACTGCTCTACACAAAATGCTGAACTCAGGTGTGTAGTACTGATTGCACTGGTCCTTTGCTCCCAATCAAGTGGATCTGAATCATGAGTTAGCCACTGCCTAAGCCTGGGCATGACCACCACCCCCAATTGTAACATACATATTTGCATCGAGACTGTAAACATGGCCCACCACTTCTTTTTGTTTATAGATTCCTTGGCTCAGTCACGTCTTCCTTATCAAAGCCTTTTTTTCTGCATAAGGAAAAAGAATAGGGGAGTGAAATATATATTTAAAAATCATTTATACTAATGAGAAGATTCTCTGAAAATAATAGGGGTGAGAATAGGGGTCAAAATGGGTATACAACAAAAGTTTAGATCGTAGCACTGTAGGTATAGGACTTAGTTGGCACTGGATAAATATTGAGATCTAAATCATGGTTGTGATTCTTTTCCCGGGTGCAGCCCTGGCGGGTAACAGTGCCCTTTGGGGAGGGTAAAGCGCTTCCCAGCTATGAGCCTTTAGCACAGCCTATCTTCACCCCCCCACCCCAGGCTGACAGTTCACCTCATTGAGTTAAGAAGGTCCATCAATAACAACTAGGCAGTTTCCATTGGAAACAGATTAACAAACTAAATAAAATAGACCTCTGTATTTGGAAGGATGCTTTAGGACATTAATAGTAATATTTTATAAATTCCGTGTTTTTTTAAATTTTAGAAAATTTATATTCTAATACCCATTTTAAAAATATTTTGAATGTCTCCCAAGAAGAATTTTTGAGAAGAAAACATCTAAAACCTTTTAGAAATTATTTCCTTTGAAGAAGTCTCCTTTTTCTTGGTATAACATTTATCAGCTTGTGATTCAGTTATCTATTGCTACAGAGCATGCCATCCCAAAATTTAGTTGCTGGCAAAAATATCAATTTAATATTTAATGCTGGGGGTTGGTTGTGCAGTTCCTCTGTGGTTTTGTCTGGGCTCACTGACAAGGTTACAATCAACTGTAGCAGGCAAGTGTTGGCAAATTTTCTGCAAAGGACTAGATGGTAAATATTTTTGTTTTTGTCTCCATCTTATAGTCTTCTTTGTTATTTTTTACACACCCTTAAAAACCTATTCTTACCTTAGGAGTCCTACAAAAACAGGCCATGGCACAGGCCACAGGTTGCAGTTTGCCGATCACTAAACGGGAGAGTCAGTTGAGCTGAAGAGCCAAGGTGGCCTCACTCACACATCTGCTGCCAAGTCCGTGTGGCCCCTCATCCTCCAGTGGGCAACCCCGGCAGTCTGTAGGCAACACCCAGAAGAGTGAAGGCGGAAGCTGTAAGATTTCTTGAGGTGTGGACATGGGAGTCAACACAAGGTCACATATGTCACATTCTCTAAATCGAAGCAAATTGCAAGGCCACTCCAAATTTAAGGGACAGGCAAATAGACTCTGTGCCTTGATGGGAGGGGCTGCAAATAATGTGGCCAGAACTAGCTGAACTAAGTGGAAGATTTCCATAATGTGCATTACCAAGGGACTTATTGCTGGTGCTGACCTCAGTATTAGAGACGCTCCTAGAGCCTTATTCAAATAACTTCAAATTGACTCAAAACTTTGTGATCTTTTATGGCATCTATTGTTCTTATTCTCTTCTTTCTCCATGCTACCCTAGCCTATTTATAATCCTGTGAGCACTCACTTCCCTTAGTACTTGTTTACAGGTGTTTCTGCCATGAGATTATCATCAGCTCCCTAAAGGAAGAGATGGGCCTGACCATTCTGCCTTCTTGTGATATATCTTCAATAGAGATGTATGGAATTTAATTGAATATCCTTACTAGGTTTAGGGTCAGGTTATTTGCTTACTTCACAGAAGCAAAACAAATTTAAGAATCTTGCACTACCTACAAATTCTGAATAAAAGCATACATTGAAGAGTTACATTTCAAACCCAAATACTATCTAATCAATCAGATGGATAGACTTCCTAGCATTTTCCAAACATAACCAAGAGTTAGGAAGCTATATGGTTAATAATATCTTTGAAGTAGCAATCACCTTTAAGGATATATTACATTTTAACCTTAAATGTGTCTGCAGATGAAAATCAAAGCATGGCAACAGTTTATGATCGATGCTGTATATGCTCCAAGGCAGAAGTGATTCTGGAGAGGATTTCTAATCTGCAGTA